TTACTTTTCTACAACTCATTCTTATAACAACAGTTAATATTGTGATGGTGCTGGTGTGTTTGCGGGAGGAAGGGGTTTGCAGGCCAGTCACATAAATAGACACAACACTTTCTCCTCAACTATTAAGACCTTTGACTCTCATATTCCTACCAGTTCTTGCAATTTGTTGTAGCTTTTCAGGGTACACCTACACAGTGAATACAATGCCATGCAGAGATGCTCAAGTTAGCACAGGCATAAACAGCATAACTGTGTTAGTGTGGCCTACTACCTCAGCTAATTATTCCTACAACTAGATAACCCAAGTGGAGCATCATGTTAACACAGCTGTTTAACTTCCAGTATCAGAGCTAGCTAATTAGTGGTTAGTGCGCCGCAGCACTGCCTTGAGCCTAATAGATACAATCTTATTGAGACTGCTATCCCTTGCAAAGGAGGGTGGTAGAATTTCCTGGTTTTATAATGAAAGTACCAAGACTGCCACAAAAGAACTAGATTTTCCCTCAAAACTATGCAAGTAGAAATCAATGTATTTCATGTACTTCAAATGATTAAATGTCGAGTGTATGTTCTTGTTCTGAATATAGGTTGCCCAACTGAAAAGGAGCACAAGTCAAAAGTAATTTGCACTGATTTTCTGATACTAACGAAACTCAACTGATGATATAATGTAAACTAACATAAGAAGACACTTGGCCCTTTTCTCATTTTGTGGTGTTTCCATTATATTTTAATGTCTTTTAAAAGCTTCCCCCATTGGTTGTGTAAAAGGCTCTCAAAGATGCAGAAACTGAAGATGGTGCTATTCCAGCTAAGCACGTAAGTGCACGTTAAGCAAACAGTTTGTCCCATGGCCATGAGGACTCAAGGAGACTAGTCACATTCTAAAAGTTAAGCACGTCCTGAAGTACTCTTCTGGATCAGTGCCTAAAAAGGGAAGACAGTGCAACTCCTTGTACATAACGTACTGTCAGATGCACAGTCAACAATCTGACCCAAACCACAGTTTTCCTCCCTGCTCATTTCTGTTTCCTCTCAGATATAATAGCAGTAACTGAAAGCAAATATATTCACATATTAGGGTGACCCTTTTTTTCAGTTGGTAGCATCCCTTCAATACAGGATTGCATATGAAAAAGACTGTTTGTATAAGCATAGCTTAGGTATTAGGAAAGATGAAGTAGTGAATGTGTGATCAAGGCATTGATAAAGGCAATACAAGGACGATGACTAACTATAACTGGTTTGATTTTAAAAACTTAGTATAGTCCTAATAGTGTCCTCTCAAATGTAACTGTGAAAAATCAGAAAGGGACTGGGTTTTTGTTTTGAAATTGATCTGTATTAATTGCTTGCAAAGTGACCTCCAGGAATGGCATAGTTTCATTATAGCGCAGCAGCTATCTTATTTTATTCCTTACTCAAAGTAGATGTATTTTCCATTAGTGTACTTTTAAATGTGAAACTAAAGCCTCTTTAACTGTAAGTTTAAAAAAAAAAATCTAATTTTTACTGCAACAAAGCCCTCAAAAACTCCTGCTGAAGAGGGTGTTGATGGGATTTAGGAGTGTTCCAGAAAATTCAGAGCACTGTGCAAAATAGCATACAGGATTAAGGAGAAACTGTAATAAGAAATAAAACCCAATTCTCTAGTGAATAAATGATCCTCTATTTCAGTTCTCTTCAAGGGAAGATGGTCTTTATTAGCCCAACTGCATGCTACACATTATACTAATTAACTATTCTTTATCCTGTCAAGTATATCCTGAATACTATATCCATAAAAAGAAACACTGCAGAAAACAGCTACAGTAGTAGAGCATATAACCAATGTAACAAACCCAGGGTAGAAGATCACGGTGGGGTCTTAGGTCACTGAAACTGTGGTGGACCAGTAGAGGGCACTCCTGCACTGAGCCACCCACCTCACTGTGCCCAATTGCCTACCAAGCTCCACGTGCCTCCCCCAGGGTATTTCATGTCTGGCCAACCCCCCTTTCTGGAGCACACCTGCAAGCCTGGGTTAACCGCCGCCACCACCCAAGGGTCTGGACTGTTTCCGGGCCCTATGCCCCCTGGTAGACCTTGAGGGTGCTTGACCCACTGCAAGAACTTGGGGGGCTTCCTTAAGCCTGAAGCACAGAAAATAGCCTCCCTTAGCCAGTTGGCCATAGGGAAAAGAAAAGGCATGCCCAATCCCGCTCCCAGCTAGTCCACCATGCTTATTGCAGTGGAGAGCTTTATTGGTTAAAAAGGGTAGGCTTAGGGAAGGGTACAGGATAGAAAAGTATCAAAGAATATCCCAGAGCAAAACAGTATGGCTAGGTAGGAAGCCTTTTGTCACACTTCTACATTACAGTAAGCTATATTTCTAAACAAGGTTTAGGTAAGTTACTCGCCTGTTTATCTGGAGCCTAGAAGAGCTCCAGAGGCCATGTGTTTACACCATGTTCCCCAGAATTGCTCTCCCACTTCCAGGAAGAAGATGCCCTTAAATAACTTCTCTGGCCTAATCTTCCATACCCAATCAGGGCAGGTGCTATTGGATGCTGGCCAATCAATTTGAAAAGCATCATTGGTACGTGCTTCAACCCCTGCACCATGCCATGAGGTCAGTGCTAACACAGTAGACAGTTTTGACCTCTCACCTGTCGTCAGGCACATAGGTGGAGCTGGTTGCTTAGCAACCAGAGTGCTAGACACACAGGAGAGAGAGGGAGAGTAAAACAGACGAGTCCCAGGGTGAGGAGGAGGCTGGAATAGGATTTCATCATGGAAACCACCTGAGTTCTGCATTAGTAGACAGAAGGCTATGAGAGGCAGCGTTATCCAGTGGATAGAACATGGGCCTGGGACTGCTCCTTCTGTTCCCAGCTCTGCCACTAGCCTGCTGGGTAGCCTCAGGCAAGTTTTTTGACTTGGTAGGATTTATTTCCTACTATGTGTCCGTATGGTAAGACCTTCATTTCATTTGAGGCTTCTACTAACTACTGCAATTCAAAATCTTAACCATAATAATTTGGCTCAGAATATTTTTCTAGCTACTGTTTCTTTCCAGCTAGTGCTGTTTTTTAAAGTGGGCTAGGAATATTAAATGGAAGAAGGGCTGATTTCTTACACACAGTGCATGTAACGTTGTATTGATTTTTACAGTCCTAAATCAACCTAAGATCTACACTAGTGGACACAATTTGTAGCTCGCTGCATTAACATCATACTTAGATGGGGGAAATATGAACAGTAAGGATGCAGAGCTCATCATTTTTGAGCTGCCTGTCTGCCTGGAGGCTGATGATTGTTTCGGGCTGACCACCTGAAAGGCCTTTGCACGGAAATGTTCTATCACTTGATAGATTAGTGCATATAAAGTGAATCTTTTCAGGCTCCCCAGTGCCACCAGAGGGAGAAAAGCTGCTAAGTCAGACCACCTTACAGATTTATTACTCAAAAAGAGCCAGTGCAAATGAAAACCTGAGTGAGAAAATTAAAATAAATGGGAAATGTTAACGTGCATGCAAATTTTGCAAAAATGAATGTTATTTCCCTTTTCATTTAACACAGTGCTATGGCATTGGTCAAGGTAATGGAGAGTTTTGTACCTTTCACTAAAGGAATGAAGGTTTTCCTTTATTCCATCTAGGAATGCAAAACCATAACTTTATGGAGTTTTTTAAAGCTATTAATTGATACTGTCACAGTGGATGCTTGGATTAATTGATGTTCAACTCTCTTCAGACTACCAAAAGGCATGGGTTGTTTTTTACATGTGCGCGCACACACACACACTATACCACTTTGTTTCATAACCAGTCTGGTTCACTTGACAGTCCATAACACCACACTTATACAGTTAACGGTCATCATTATCATCCCATTACAATAACTGCAGCCATGTGCCCCCACCTCCCCATGCCTGTCACCATCGTTCACCCATCACAATCATGCAAAAAACACCTCCTTTCCCTTTACCCTCCCCTCCCCCCTTCCCATCCCGCTCCCCTAAAACCCCAACGTCTTTCAGTCCTTAGTCCACATCATCTTCATCACTCTCTTCTTTCCTGTTGTCCTCGTCACTCACCCCCTCTTTGCCACTGTCATCGTCATCTTCTCTGGGGGCCCCACTCCTGAACAGTCTGTGCCAGTCTCTTCTTTTTCATATGATCTCTGCCATCTCCCCCTAGTTGCCATCTACCATCTTCCTGTAGTACCCTTGCAGCTCGCTCAGTCTCACTTGTTTGTGTGCCTATACTTAAGCAGATTCCTGGTCTTTCACAGGGCATTTCTGAAGCAGGAAAGGAACTGGTTGAAGTGGGCTGTCCAGGTCCCTTGCTGCTTGGTTAGCTGCCTGTACAATGCCACCTCTCTGGTCAGGATTTTGACCCCTGTCACCGTCATAAGGAGTAAGATTACTCTCCTCCACACCTCCCTGGCATATGAGCAGTTCCAGAGGAGGCAGTTGATTGTCTCCTCTTTCCAATGGCAGGTTTACCTGCCTCTCTGCTCCTTTCTGTGTCTTAGTGCCCCACAAGGAGTTCTTGGTGGACTACTCAGTTCAAGTCTGTTCTTTTTGCAGGTGTTTGTGGAAGACTCACTCCCACACCGCCTCACTGCTGCCACCGGGGAGTACGTCCACGGGCAACAGTTTATCCTTTGTTCTTATCACCTCCTGTACATCAGATTTCATTTAATGCCCATGAGACTTAAAAGGCCAGCTTTTCATACTGCAATTTGGGAATTTGTCAAAGGGCCTTTTCCCTAAAATGCATGGCCTAGACAGTGTCAGGTTGCTTTGATTTTTATCTTCATCCAGCTTGTTAATTTGTGCAGACAGAGGGAAAGGCCTTGAAGGCAGCAGAGGGTATGCAATCAGATTATCTGGTGATTCATTCCCTAATCAAACTTTCTTACAAAAGCTAATCAGCCCTGACACACAAAGGGTGAAGTACCTATTCTTTTGCTGTTCTTCCTTTACAAATTCCTGATTGGCACGAACCTCAGTAATGTATGGCCGTAATATTATTGTTGGTATTTTTCCTTCCCGTGGCCATTCAGCTGCCAAGTGAAAGGTCCATGCTGGATGTACAGTGTGCCCATTTTAACAACCTCCCTTAAAGCATCCCTACTGCTGTCAGAACAAGCAAAAAGTACTTAATGTTTCAAGAGTGTGAAAATTGCCTCCAGAGAAGTGACAGGTTTAAAGGGAAAGCACTATTATCCAAACCAAATTCCAGCTCTGATAACTGTCGTTACTTAATCATGATGAGACTCCTCCTGTTTTCGCACAAGTTTTTATTTCCATAATGTCAAGGTTTGCACTTTTTTCCATTTTAAATCCTGTTTTAAATCTCATGGCCACTGCCTTTTCAGTTAGCACTATGCAGCAGCTACTAAGCAACAGCAATCCTCAAGCACAGAAGATCCATGAATTCATTGATGTAGGGTCTCTCTAAATCAATGTGCTGCTGTCTTGTTTGTTTGGCAGCAAGAGACTGGAGCAATATAACACCAAAGAGGTATGAACTTTCCCCATTCATCTTAATAGGCTATTACCTTGAAAGTCCAGTTTTGAACATTGAAATAGGACATAGCCTCATGGCCTTTTTATTGCTGGAGCCTTCTGAATAGGACCAAGAAAAAAACATCATGAAAATGATAAAATTGTGAATGTTGCAGTTTTGACAATGCAACTTGATTGCTTTACTGCCTGTTCACTGTTGCGGAAATGCTTAATAATGACTATCTGCATCAACAGTAATTCTAACATCAAATGTCTTACCTATCTTTCCAGCCACACGTGCAAAATATGCAGACACATCTTTATAAGAATTGGCCAAGAAAATGATATGACATTTGTGTGGTTTTAGAGAAATATGAAAGGTCTGCAGCCTCAAGCACTTTTGTAGATGTACCTATGAATCAAATAAAATATGTAACTTAAATGGAGTATAGGAAAGCTTCTAATTTCTTATTATACAGAAAAAGTGGTATCTCATATGCCATATGTGGTAACATCTGCCAGATGTTGATTTTTTTCTTACCGGTGGCCTCCATATTACGCTTGGAAAATAAAAAAGTGGGTTTGCTAAGTAAGCTTACTAAAAAAATGGATAACATTATCATAATTATTTTTTTACTGCAGCATGTGTATTTTTACTTCTGGATCTTTGTGGCTTTCTGTCAGCAGCAGAATAGTTTGGCCTAGGAAATCTAGCTTCAATAGAAGACTCATGGTTCCACCTCTTATTTCGCATTATTGCTTAAGCTGATCCTTTTTGATTGTGTATATGTCTTTGTTGTTGCTACAATCATCCAAAAGGATCAATGGGGGGAGGGAGGGGGAAGAATGACTTAATTTTGTTATTGATAATTACTTCCCTTTGCATTACTCTTTGCAGAAGTGGTTCAACTCACTCTTCCCGAAGACCAGAAGGTCAGCATTACCACAGTAACAGTCGGACTGAGCACTGTATTGACCTGCACTATCCACGGAGCCCTAAGACCCCCAATTATCTGGAAGCGAAATGGAGTCATCCTGAACTTCTTAGATTTGGAAGATATCAACGTAAGTTTTGAATTTGGGTTGCTCTGTTCTTCACAATGCATTGAATATGACTTAACTTAAAAGCAGAGGATAGTTTTAAGCAAATCTTTTATTTCATTATTATAATGGAAAATGAAAGCAAGCATCATATCTTCTTCCTCTGTAGCCTGTGTCCAGGAAGAAAAAGGGGGCTAAGTCCCAAAGCTGGGAGCAGGCATCTTGTGTTTATAAGAAACTGGAACATAGCACAAAAAGTAATTGTGCCAAGATTTCATTCCTTCCTTAAGGTGGTAGAGTTGAACCTTGTAGACTAAAGCATTTAAATCATTTAGTTTAAAGGTGCTCAGCCCCCAGCCTGCAGGCCAGATCCTGGCCCCAGCACTAAGTCATCCAGCCTATGGACCTCCCCACGGGTCCATAGGGAGTGCCATGGGCTGCAGACCTGCATGTTGAATCTGGCACACGGGGCAGCACAGGGCCAGGCAGGTACAGCACAGGTCCTGGAGCCAGATGGCGTGTGAATGTAGGGCTCCAGGGCCCTAACCCTGGCACGTGGGGCCAGATGGCTCTGATCCTAGCACACAGGGCTGGATGGAGGTGGCATGAGGTGCTGGGACCTGTCGCAGCAGGTGGGGTCCAGTCAACTTCACATGGGCCCAATCCACCTGTGCAAAACTGATTCTGATGCATGTGGTCTGATGCATTGGGCAAAAAACTGAGCACCACTGGTGTAGTGAGTCTTTAACATACAAATCTACACTGCTTTCTGCCTGATTTAAGACTAATTCATCTACCATCCTCCCTCATTCCATTTTTAAGACAGACCCATAATACAAGTGCTCCATAGATGCCACCCCTGAAAGCTCAGAGCAAACTGGCTAAATAAGCTTTCTTCTTTCTCACGTCCTTGTGAAAAGGTATTTAGCAGAATTTGCAGATTTCTTGGAATCTGACAGGGCCATGCCATAAACACTTCTGCTCTGATCTCAAACTTGCAACCTCTGGGCTGTCAACCATGTGCTTTAGTCTACCCACTCTAGAAAGCATGAGTATATTGTAGCTGTGAAATACCACCTACATGTCAATCAAATAAGAAAATAATATAGCCTCTTTTTTGTGCAGTCTAGTCTTATGTTTCAGTCTGTTTTGAATAAAATCTTTTACGACCTACTGGCTAGTTGGTGAGACAGCTGAAATTTCAGCTCTTGATACCATCCATGGATGAAGGAATGTGTACTTCTCTTGACTTCCCCAGTTATATCGATGCCTAATTATAAATATTTAGGTGACTCTCTTTCGCTACATCGACACTGTGAGTTCTAGACTACTACAGATAATGCTTGAATAACGTGATCCGCTTACTGATTTAATTAATAATATTTAATTATAGAGAAGATGAAAAGTAGTATACTGAAAACAGTCCCAAGTTCATTTCTTCTTGCATTAAAACACACAGTAAAGCATGTTCTTTTCAGTTACAGTATAATAAAACTATTTTTATTTTTGTTCCACTCTTCTTCATTTGATATCTATTCTTTTGAGTTAAGGACTGTTATATATAGTACTATGCCTCACTAAACTGTTGAGGTGGAGAAAAGCCATTGTTTTACTCTTACACTAGGAAATGAAAACTATGAGCACAGGCTGTCAGGGAACATGACTGCTTATTTAGTTTATTTATTGACTTCATAACTGCAGGAAAATTCAGCGTGCTTGCATATGTGCGCGCTAGTTGTGGGGAACATACAAGTTGCAAGACTGTTTATTATATCAGCACAAACTGGCTACGTCCAAATTTCTTAATACTGTGCTCTTTCCATCAAAGCAAGCACTACCCTTTTCAAATTCAAGGCTTGTTGCCATCTGGAACATGACATTCAAATGACACTTGAAAGTGGCAAACATATTGCTGCAATATTACCATAGGATCATAAAGAAACTTTAATGAAGACAGGCAGGATAGCAGAACTAGCCAGAAGTCAAAATACCTGACTAGATTCTTACAGATATCCTTCTGTGAGATGAATTGATTGCCAGTCTTTGGGTACTAGCAGTAAAACTCCATGCAATATTGCCAATATACTACATGCAAATGTGTGGGAGTCGCACTTGTTGCTGGAAAGCAGCATGCTCAAATGCACCCAGTGTTTTCCTGAACAAATGATTATGCCTTTAGTTTCTATAAATATTCTTTTGGGCCAGCCCTATTCTGACCACAGACTTAACTAGTTAAATGGCAAAAACTGCATATCTCACCAAGGTTTTTAGTTTAGCTTGCAATAAAATGACCTTGGAAGTATGATGTTAATTAGGAGCCCAGGAAGAGCCTTTGGGGGTAATCATTCTCAATAAATATGGTCTGAGAAGGCTTGTTTGTATCCAGATCTGGAGTAAATTTAGGCCAGGTTATTAGGGTAGCCATGATGTAAAGTCATTAATTGTACTGTTGAACCCGTTCACAATATCAGTCTCCCAGATCGTTTTCAAAGGTCACCAGGAGATTGATGCCAATTCCAGTAGACTCCTAGCCAATCCGAGAGGGTTGGCAAACGTACGAGCTATAGTGATCAAAACCAAACTGAACTCAGTTTGGGTCTGAGGTTAAGCTTCCTTGAAACCCTAATATGCTGAAGGATATTTCTGCCCAACATAGTGGAGATGCTATGAGATCAGCTCTTTCTTATAAGGTTTTGGCCACATCCCTTTTGGACAGATCCCTTTTAATCTTGCCTGTGAACTGGGATAGCAGGAATTTCAGCAGTTTGAATTGAAATGGACTCTAAGGGAAGGTGTTTGGGTTTGGGCCTTCAGCTTGAGTTCATAGCTAATGTTTTCTATGTTCATTAGAGTGCTGAGGCATATTGTTTCAAGATCAAGAATCTCTGCCCTCCTTTTTAAATTGCATTAGATTAGTGCCATTGCAAGTGGATTCCTGTTTTGTCTAGGCAAAGATTTACAACTAAACATGGTATTGGTTCCTGATGGTAAACACGGCTTAATTTAGTAACTAGTGAAAGGAAGCATTATATCCTCGTATAAAACAGAAACAATTGTACAGTTACACTACTCCTTTTTCAATGCTGCTTTCAATCTGCCATCAAACAATCACTCGTTTTTTTTAAACCTGTCCTTGATTCATGGTTGTCATCCTCCTGGGATCTCACTGAAAAGTTTATCAAAGGGGCATTTTCAAAGACAGACATAAATGAAAAGCAATAACTGTTCTTCAGTTTTAATGCTTCAGTTTATGATCTCTTTCATCTTGTCAGATACCGCATGGTATTACAGTAAACATTTTTTGCAGCAATTAAACACCACAACATCTTATCTGCCTTCAATTAACCTTCAAAGGCTTTTACTCTTACTTATACTCCACCATCATCTGTATTATCTCTTCTTGTTACTCGGGATGTCACACATTAGGTTTGGGGAGTATGACCTTTCCGTCTCAACACTTCACCAAGAATAATCTAATGGACCAGGAGTGGGAGGCTGTATGTTTCAAGCACTTGTCAGGGGGATGATATCCAAGGTATACATAGAGTAGTTACTGCTTGGAAGTTGTTGTCTACCAATAGATGTCAGCCCATAATTATTATCTATTTCCTGATCTAAATAAAGCAGGGGAACTGTGGTTACTGTCTGTGAGGGTAGGCCCATCCATCAATACTGGAAAATCAGATCCTTCCATGTGGGTGAACACAAGTCTGCAAAAACATGATTCTGAACCCAATTTTTGAGGCAGCGTTAGGAGGTGAAGCATTACTCTTCAGGGCTGCTTAGCTACAGAAATGTTGTACAGGAATTTATCACTGCTAATCTGTTCGGTGAAACAAAACACATGATATACTGTCGTTGATCACTTTATCAGCGATTTGGATGACGGGGTGAAAAGCACCCTGTTTAAATTCACTGATGATACCAAAATTTGGGGTGAGGGAGGGAAAGACTTCAAGACTTGGATAGGTTACAGGGGTGGGCTAGCAAAAACAGGATGCGCTTCAACACTGACAAGTGCAGGGTGCTGCACTTGGGCAGTAGCAACCAGCAGCACACTTATAAGATGGGAAACTCCCTTCTTGAGAGCACAGAGGCAGAAAG